AGTTGATGTGATGGAGACAGGCGAAAGCCTCTCAGTACTTCCTGGTCTGTCAAACCTGTCCTCTAATTGGTTGTCACAACGGTTTAATCCTCCAACCCCTTCATCGGATCTGATGGTAAATCCATTGATCTCCAATCCTCCGTGTCTGTTCTCATCTGGTGACTGAGTTTAGGCTCTGTGTGATTGTTGTAATTCCCAAAATGCTTTTGAAAGATGTTCTCTTTTGAGGGTGAATAGGACCCAATACTGATAGAATCCTCTTTAAAACGTCAGTTCTCGTAACCGTTTTGAGCCAGTTTTATGTTTTTTTTTCCAACTCTATTCAACTCTAGTCAACTCTAGTCAAATCTAGTCAACTGTATTCAACTCTAGTCAACTGTAGTCAACTCTAGTCAACTCTAGTCAACTCTAGTCAACTGTATTCAACTATAGTCAACTGTATTAAACTCTAGTCAACTGTATTCAACTCTAGTCAACTGTATTCAACTATAGTCAACTGTATTCAACTCTAGTCAACTGTAAGCCTATTTCTCTGGTTCCTCAGGCTGTATAACGTATCCCTGGAGGGGATGAATAAAGTAATGCTCAATTTATTTGAATGTTGCTACTGTGTGACTCCTCGATGAGGCTGAAGGTAGTGGTATTGAATGTTGTGATTGTGTATTGCAGGGTGAGGCTGAAGGTAGTGGTATTGAATGTTGTGATTGTGTATTGCAGGGTGAGGCTGAAGGTAGTGGTATTGAATGTTGTGATTGTGTATTGCAGGGTGAGGCTGAAGGTAGTGGTATTGAATGTTGTGATTGTGTATTGCAGGGTGAGGCTGAAGGTAGTGGTATTGAATGTTGTGATTGTGTATTGCAGGGTGAGGCTGAAGGTAGTGGTATTGAATGTTGTGATTGTGTATTGCAGGGTGAGGCTGAAGGTAGTGGTATTGAATGTTGTGATTGTGTATTGCAGGGTGAGGCTGAAGGTAGTGGTATTGAATGTTGTGATTGTGTATTGCAGGGTGAGGCTGAAGGTAGTGGTATTGAATGTTGTGATTGTGTATTGCAGGGTGAGGCTGAAGGTAGTGGTATTGAATGTTGTGATTGTGTATTGCAGGGTGAGGCTGAAGGTAGTGGTATTGAATGTTGTGATTGTGTATTGCAGGGTGAGGCTGGAGCCGAGGGGCCTGATGGTAAGACTGGACCTGTCGGACCCCAGGGGCCCTCTGGTAAGCCCGGACCTGACGGCCTGCGTGGAATCCCCGGCCCTGTTGTGAGTTAACTAGCTATGCATGATCTGCTATACATTAGCTATACATTACACTATCACTGTTGTAACTAGCTAGATTACAGACTAATCCGTTTGCTATACATTATCTGTACATTATCAAGGTTAAATAATGTGATGGGATAATGTGATATGTTATGAAGGTTCAATGATAATGTGATTTGATAGTGTGATTGATAATGTAATGGATATAGTTATGGATAATGTAATGGATGATTTGATACATATTCTCAGGGTGAACAAGGACTTCCGGGTGCTTCTGGAATGGACGGACCCCCTGGACCTATGGTTAGAGATAATATCTCAATATTTCATATCCTATTTTCTTGGCACATTTGTAATGCCATGATACACTGACAATTTTTTTAGGCAACAATTGTTATAAAATATGACTGTGTGTGAACAGTAAGTAAAAGGCCCTTAGATTTACTCTCTTTGACAAACTGATTCCTGAGAGGGGTTTTGTCTCTTTACAGGGACCCCCTGGTCTTGCTGGCTTGAAAGGAACTCCTGGGGGTAAGGGAGAAAAGGTAAGATTTTATAGAGAAGAGAAGGTTCTCTCTGTCTCTCTCTGTCACACCCTGGTGCTGGGACTCATTATTGTTTATCCAGGGTGTGTGCAGTCTATGTGTTTATGTTCTAGGTTGGGTGTCTAGGTTGTTGTTTTTCTAGGTTTGTTCAATGACTCCCAATCGGAGGTAACGAGTGTCAGCTGTTCGGCTCGTTATCTCTGATTGGGAGCCATATTTATTCTGTATGTTTTCCTGTGGGGTTTGTGGGTTTTTGTTTCTTGGTTACATGTTCCGTATGTCAGTGATTTGTAACTTGAGAACTTCACGTATCGTCTTTTGTTTTGTTTTCGTGAGTACGTTTATTAATAAATTATGTTCACTCGCAACGCTGCGCTTTGGTCCGCTTCCTCATTGGTAGACGATCATGACAGAAAAACCCACCACAAGAGGACCAAGCGGCGTAACAAGCGGCAACAGGACCTACCTACGCAGGATTTATGGGAGCCTCCTAAGGACTTTTGGACATGGGAGGAGATACGGGCTGGAAAGGGTCCTTGGGCACAACCAGAGGAGTACCACCGCCCTCGTGAAGAGCTGGAGGCAGCTGCAGCCGAGAGGAGGTGGTATGAGGAGGCAGCGCGGAGTCGAGGCTGGAAGCCCGTGGTTACTCCCCAAAAATTTCTTGGGGGGGGGCTAAAAGGGAGTGTGGCGAAGGCAGGTAGGAGACCTGCGCCTACTCCCTGGACTGACCGTGGAGAGCGGGAGTACGGGCAGACACCATGTTACGCAGTAGAGCGCATGGTGTCTCCTGTACGCAGGCATAGCCCGGTGCGGTACATTCCAGCTCCTCGTATCGGCCGGGCTAGATTGAGTGTTGAGCCGGATGTCATGAGGCCGGCCCCACGCAGCAGGCCACCAATGCGTCTCCTCGGGCCGGCTTACATGGCACCAGCCCTACGTATGGTTTCCCCGGTTCGCCCACATAGCCCGGTGCGGGTTATTCCTCCTTCCCGTACTGGTCGGGCGACGGGGAGCATACAACCAGGTAGGGTTGGGCAGGCTCAGTGCTCAAGGGAGCCAGTACGCCTGCACGGTCCGGTATTTCCGGCGCCACCTCCCCGCTCCAGCCCAGTACCACCAGTGCCTACACCACGCACCGAGCCTCCTGTGTGTTCCCAGAGTCCTGTGCGTCCTGTTGCTGCTCCCCGCACTAGCCCTGAGATGCGTGTCCTCAGCCCGGGACCACCAGTTCCGGCACCACGCACTAGGACTTATGTGCGTCCCCAGGGTCCTGCATGCCCTGTTGCTGCTCCCCGCACTAGCCCTGAGATGCGTGTCCTCAGCCCGGGACCACCAGTTCCGGCACCACGCACTAGGACTTATGTGCGTCCCCAGGGTCCTGCATGCCCTGTTGCTTCTCCCCGCACTAGCCCTGAGATGCGTATCCTCAGCCCGGTACCTCCTGTTCCGGCACCACGCACCAGGCCTACGATGCGCCTCAGACGGCCAGAGTCTGCCGTCTGCCCAACGGGGCCTGAACTGTCCGTCTGCCCAACGCCGTCTGAACTGCCCGTCTGCCCAACGGCGCCTGAACTGCCCGTCTGCCCAACGCCGTCTGAACTGTCCGTCTGCCAAGCGCCGCAGGAGCTGCCCGTCTGCCATGAGCCTGCAAAGCCGCCCGTCTGCCATGAGCCTACAGAGCCGTCCGCCAGACCGGAGCCGCTAGAGCTCTCCGCCAGACAGGAGCAGCCAGAGCCTTCCGCCAGACAGGATCAGCCAGAGCCTTCCGCCAGACAGGATCAGCCAGAGCCTTCCGCCAGACAGGATCAGCCAGAGCCTTCCGCCAGACAGGATCAGCCAGAGCCGTTCAGCCGGGATCCGCCAGAGCCGTCCAGCCGGGATCCGCCAGAGCCGTCCAGCCGGGATCCGCCAGAGCCGTCCAGCCGGGATCCGCCAGAGCCGTCCAGCCGGGATCCGCCAGAGCCGCAGCCGGATCCGCCAGAGCCGTCCAGCCGGATCCGCCAGAGCCGACCAGCCAGGATTCGCCATTCAGCCTGGTACTGCCCCTTAGTCCGGTACTGCCCCTTAGTCCGGTACTGCCCCTTAGTCAGGTGCTGCCCCTTAAACCGGTGGGGGTCATTTGGAGGAGGCTACATAAGCGGGAAGTGACTATGGTGGGGTGGTGGTCTAGGCCGGAGCCAGAACCGCCACCGAGGAGGTATGCCCGCCCAGCCCTCCCCTGTTTGGGGGTTTTGAGGCGCGGTCGCAGTCCGCGCCTTTAGGGGGGGGTACTGTCACACCCTGGTGCTGGGACTCATTATTGTTTATCCAGGGTGTGTGCAGTCTATGTGTTTATGTTCTAGGTTGGGTGTCTAGGTTGTTGTTTTTCTAGGTTTGTTCAATGACTCCCAATCGGAGGTAACGAGTGTCAGCTGTTCGGCTCGTTATCTCTGATTGGGAGCCATATTTATTCTGTATGTTTTCCTGTGGGGTTTGTGGGTTTTTGTTTCTTGGTTACATGTTCCGTATGTCAGTGATTTGTAACTTGAGAACTTCACGTATCGTCTTTTGTTTTGTTTTCGTGAGTACGTTTATTAATAAATTATGTTCACTCGCAACGCTGCGCTTTGGTCCGCTTCCTCATTGGTAGACGATCGTGACACTCTCCCTCTCTCTCTCTCTCTCTTCTCTCTCTCTCTCTCTCTCTCTCTCTCTCTCTCGCGCTCTCTCTCTCTCGCGCTCTCTCTCTCTCTCTCCTCTCTCTCTCTCTCTCTCTCTCTCTCTCTCTCTTTCTCTCTCGCTCTCTCACACACTCTCTCTCTCCATCCCTGCCTCTACCTCCCCCTATCTCTATCTCTCTCTTTCAAAGTTAACCAAATCAACTCTGGATTTGTGATTTAATGTGGTAATTAAATAATGTATAAGAAATATAATATCATTTGTGTAATGAGACAGATCACCACTGTTTAAATATAACAACACTATAAACGACTCATCATTTATTGTTCAGGGCCTAGCATAGTTGTTGCTTTGTTTCCTTCATAAACATTCCAGGTCCATAATTTAATCGACATCATTTTATTTGGCGTAACTTAACAACAGATGGTTGTAGAAAAGTTTCACGTCAACAAGATGTCCGAGTTCATTTATGATATTTCTGTGATTGATAACCAAAAATTATAGGGTGGTTCACAGTCACACACAAAAACATACAACATTTCAGAAATTCCTTTTTTGAATTATTTTAATGTATTTTTTCTTGGTTGATTGATCACTACACTGAGTGTACAAAACATTAGGAAAACCTTCGTAATATTGAGTCGCACCCCGTTTTGCCCTCAGAACAGCCTCCATTCATCTGGGCATGGACTCTACAAGGTGTCGAAAGCGTTCCACAGGGATGCTCGCCCATTTTGACTAAAATGCTTCCCAAAGTTGTGTCAAGTTGGCTGGATGTCCTTTGGGTGGTGGGACCATTCTTGATACACACGGGAAACTGTTGAGCGTGAAAAAACCCAGCAGCGTTGCAGTTCTCGACACAATCCGGTGCGCCTGGCACCTACTACCATACCCTGTTCAAAGGCACTTAAATATTTTGTCTTGCCCATTCACCCTCTCAATTGTCTCAAGGCTTAAAAATCCTTCTTTAACCTGTCTCCTCCCCTTCATCTACACTGATTGAAGTGGATTTAACAAGTGACATCAATAAGGAATCATAGCTTTCACCTGGATTCACCTGGTCAGTCTATGTCATGGAAAGAGCTGTGGATGTCTGTATTTGTGATTTATGTCCATCTCTCTCCCTCCCTCTCTCCCTCCTTCCCTCCTTCCCTCCTTCCCTCCTTCCCTCTCTCCCGCTCTCTCTCTCGCTTTCTCTCTCTCTCTCTCGCTCGCTCGCTCTTCTCTCTCTCTCTCGCTCCCCTCCCTCCCTCCTCCCCCATCCCTCCCTCCCTCCCTCCCTACCTCCCTCCCTCCCTCCCATCCTTCTTCTCTCCTTGCTCTCCATCCCTCCTTCCTTCCCCTCCTCTACTCTCTCTCTCTCTCTATCCTCCTCTCATCTCTCCGCTCTCATCTCTCTCTCTCCTCTCTCTCTCTCTCTCTCGCGTCTCTCTCTCTCTCTCTCTCTCTGTCCTCCAGGGTCACCCAGGTCTGATTGGTCTGATTGGACCGCCTGGTGAGTTCGGAGAGAAAGGAGACAGAGGTCTGCCTGGACCCCAGGGAACTGGTGGAGGCAAGGGAGACACTGTATGTGACTGACAAGTATATTACTCATTTATTTACTAGTTACTAGTTTATTTACTAATTTATAAACTATCTATAAACTTAAAATAGTCCATCTGTAAAAGGCTTCTAAACCTTTATAAACCATTTATAAAGTGTTAGCTCATTGGTTGATACTACTGTGAAGTGTCGTCTCATTGGTTCATACTGTATTGTGTCTCTGCAGGGTGTTGGCGGTTCTGCTGGTCCCCTTGGCCCTCCTGGTCCTCCTGGTATTCCTGTAAGTTAATCAGGAAATCATCTCCTCATCAAAGGACCTCGTCAGCATATCTCTTCAGCAAAATTGTTCAGCAAATTCATATCAAATCTCTATACAATTTCTTCATCAGATGTTCAATACATCATTAATCTAGTATCACTATTGCTGTAGTGTTATTGCTCACTGTGTGTCTCTCTTTAAACATCTTCTCATATCAAATATATTTAATTTTCTACCATTTCATCATGTTCCTAGTCTTACTGTTCACTGTGTGTCTCTCTTTTCTTTCCCCCTTAGGGACCTGTGGGTTCTAAAGGTTCCAAGGGATCAACGGTAAGTTCTGTTCACCAGAAGACTAACTGAAAACACTAAGATCCCTCAGTGGTATATATGACTGGTGTGATAACGTCCGTGTGTAATGTTGTGTCCTGTGTCTGCTGTTAGGGTGGAGCTGGCCAGAAAGGAGACACTGGTGTGATCGGACCACCCGGAGCTCCTGTAAGTCAACATTTTCTCTCTAAGAAAGAGCTCATGCTCTCACGATTATCCACTTTTAATTTACCTTTTTCTCTCTCTCTGATTGGCCGTTTCCCTGACCCCTGCCCTCTAACCTTTAACCTCTCTTTCCAACCAGGGTCCTCCTGGTGACATCATCCAGCCGCTGCCCATCCAGCAGGCGAGCAGGAAGAACAGACGGCAGGCGGAGGACGACGGCGTGCAGGGCGACGCGGCGGGAGGCATGGCGGACTACGGCATGGAGGCCACAGCGGACATGGAGGACGTGTTCGGTTCCCTGAACAACCTGAAGCAGGACATCGAGAGGATGAAGTTCCCCATGGGGACGCAGGACAACCCTGCCAGGACCTGTAACGACCTGCACCTCAGCCAGCCTGACTTCCCCAACGGTGGGTTGAATCAATCAATCAAACAAACTGTATTGTCCTCAGAGGGAACTTTGGTTTGCAGGTAAAACACAAGAGTTATAAACAGAACATACAAAGGATAGACTGAGTCACAAAAAACATAATCATCATCATTACCGCAACTTCAGGAGCTGGTTAGCAATGACGTGAGAGAGAGCAGCTGCTAGAACGACCCCCACACACTGCGTATACACATATTAAATATTCATTACCAACATTGACTTGGTAAAGGTCTCTGACTAAAACGTTGCAGTAAAAGAAAGAAAGAAAGAAAGTAAAATGCTGTTGATTCCTGGGACGTGCTGTTTACACTGGTTTAACTCAATCTGAGCATCTCATTACAATCTGAGCATCTCATTACAATCTGAGTGATTCCTGTTATGCAGTACTATGAGGGACATTGAGCATTGACCTTGCCATTGGGCCCCAGTACATCATGTTAATGACCTTGCCATAGGGCCCCAGTACATCATGTTAATGACCTTGCCATAGGGCCCCAGTACATCATGTTAATGACCTTGCCATAGGGCCCCAGGACATCATGTTAATGACCTTGCCATAGGGCCCCAGGACATCATGTTAATGACCTTGCCATTGGGCCCCAGTACATCATGTTAATGACCTTGCCATAGGGCCCCAGGCCATCATGTTAATGACTGTGTGTGATGTGATGTTCAGGTGAATACTGGATCGATCCTAACCAGGGCTGTACTGGAGACTCCTTCAAGGTCTACTGTAACTTCACAGCTGGAGGAGAGACCTGTATCTACCCTGACAAGAAGTCCGCTGGCGTACGTTTCCATTGGTCATTTCTGGAAAAGAATGTCCGTAATGTCTGTAATGCCTATAGATACACTCTTAGAAAAAAAGGGTTCTAAGAACCCTATGTAGAAAGGAATCAAAAGATTCTACCTGGAATCAAAAGGGTTCTTCAAAGGGTTCTCCCATGGGGACAGCCGAAGAACCCTTTAAGGTTCTAGATAGCACCTTTTTTTTCTAAGCGTGTACAGTAGGCTGCAATAATACATTGTAGTTGATATGAACCTTTTAACCTATTCATACTCAATATTTTACTGTCTATTTATGATTTTGATCTAAAGACATTAACATGTTGTTTTCTAACCTGGTAACCTGTTCATTCATTCGTGGTGTTGTGTTTGTTCTGTGTAACAGGTCAGAATATCTAACTGGCCAAAAGAGGCTCCAGGATCATGGTTCAGTGAATTCAAACGTGGAAAAATAGTAAGTATACAAATGATCCAACTCTCAAAGCAATTATACATGATCAAGATCAATATTGAGATACACAATAGACACTTAAAACTCAGGGGAAGATAACCTACAGTGAGACTAAATGTATCCCCTCCATAACCCTCTCTACACCTCCTCTCCCTCCCTCCCCCTACCTCCCTCCTCTCCCTCCCTCCTCCTCCCTCCCTCCCCTCCCTCCCTCTCACCCCTCTCCTTCTCCCAGTTGAACTACGTGGACATGGAGGAGAACACCATCCAGACGGTCCAGATGACCTTCCTGAAGCTGCTCAGCTCAACGGCCCGTCAGAACTTCACCTACATCTGCCACCAGTCTGTAGCCTGGTACGATGCCAAGGCAGACGGCTACGACAAGGCTCTACGCTTCCTGGGCTCCAACGACGAGGAGATGTCCTATGATAACAACCCCTTCATCAAGGCCCTGTCGGACGGATGCTCTGTATGTAGTCTTAAAAAGTTAGATTTAGCTTGGAGCTTGGAGCTTCCACTGGAAATTGCATTAGTTCTATTAGAGATTCCATTGGTTCCATTGGAGATCCTATTGGTTCCATTAGAGATTCCATTGGTTCCATTAGATATTCAATTAGTGCCATTATAGATTCCATTGGTTCCATTAGAGATTATATTTGTTCCATTGGAGATCCTACTGGTTCCGTTGGAGATCCTATTTGTTCCATTAGAGATTATATTGGTTCCATTATAGATTCCATTGGTTCCATTATATATTATATTGCTTCCATTACAGATTCAATTTCTTCCATTATAGAGTCCATTGGTTCCATTATATATTATATTGCTTCCATTACAGATTCCATTTCTTCCATTAGAGATTCCATTGGTTCCATTATAGATTATATTGGTTCCATTAGAGATTCCATTGGTTCCATTGGAGATTCCATTGGTTCCATTGGAGATTCCATTAGTTCCATTGGAGATTCCATTAGTTCCATTAGAGATTCCATTGGTTCCATTGGAGATTCCATTGGTTCCCTGAGAGATTCCATTGGTTCCATTGGAGATTCCATTAGTTCCATTAGAGATTCCAGTAGTTCCATTAGAGATTATATTTGTTCCACTGGAAATTGCATTAGTTATATTAGAGATTCCATTGGTTCCATTGGAGATTCCATTAGTTCCATTAGAGATTCCAGTAGTTCCATTGGAGATTCCATTGGTTCCATTAGAGATTCCATTGGTTCCATTGGAGATTCCATTAGTTCCATTAGAGATTCCAGTAGTTCCATTGGAGATTCCATTAGTTCCATTAGAGATTCCAGTAGTTCCATTGGAGATTCCATTAGTTCCATTAGAGATTCCAGTAGTTCCATTTGAGATTCCAGTAGTTCCATTGGAGATTCCACTGGTTCCCTTAGAGATTCCATTGGTTCCATTGGAGATTCCAGTAGTTCCATTAGAGATGTCAGTAGTTCCATTGGAGATTCCATTGGTTCCCTTAGAGATTCCATTGGTTCCATTGGAGATTCCATTAGTTCCATTAGAGATTCCATTGGTTCCATTGGAGATTCCATTAGTTCCATTAGAGATTCCAGTAGTTCCATTGGAGATTCCAGTAGTTCCATTAGAGATTCCAGTAGTTCCATTGGAGATTCCATTGGTTCCATTTGAGATTCCATTAGTTCCATTAGAGATTCCAGTAGTTCCATTGGAGATTCCATTGGTTCCATTAGAGATTCCATTGGTTCCATTGGAGATTCCATTAGTTCCATTAGAGATTCCATTGGTTCCATTGGAGATTCCATTAGTTCCATTAGAGATTCCAGTAGTTCCATTGGCGATTCCAGTAGTTCCATTAGAGATTCCAGTAGTTCCATTGGAGATTCCATTGGTTCCATTGGAGATTCCATTAGTTCCATTAGAGATTCCAGTAGTTCCATTGGAGATTCCATTGGTTCCATTGGAGATTCCATTAGTTCCATTAGAGATTCCAGTAGTTCCATTGGAGATTCCATTGGTTCCATTAGAGATTCCATTGGTTCCATTGAAGATTCCATTAGTTCCATTAGAGATTCCATTATTTCCATTGGAGATTCCATTAGTTCCATTCCATTAGTCCATTGGAGATTCCATTAGTTCCATTGGAGACTCCGTTAGTTCCATTGGAGATTCCATTGGTACCATTAGAGATTCCATTGGTTCCATTGGAGATTCCATTAGTTCCATTAGAGATTCCCTTATTTCCATTGGAGATTACATTGGTTCCATTGAAGATTCCATTATTTCCATTGCCAATTCCATTGGTTCCTTTGAAGATTCCATTAGTTCCATTGAAGATTCCATTAGTTTCCATTGCCAATACCATTGGTTCCTTTGAAGATTCCATTAGTTCCATTGAAGATTCCATTAGTTCCATTGGAGATTCCATTGGTTTCATTGTATTGGGTAGTTGGTGACATTGTTGCATTGTTGCTAATTGGTAATCATACAGTAGTTACTGGTAGATATTGATTGATCTAAGTATCTGGTAGGTCTTTATCAGATCTTGAAACCACAATAACTCCTTGCTCCCACCCGCGTCCAACTACTCTCACCTACCCGCTCCACCCCTCACTTCCCATCCCCTAAAGTAACTACTACGCAAATACCGCACCAGAAACGAGCAACGTAACAGACTCGAGTCAAAAAAGACATAGCTCAATCCCTCACCCCACATACCGTCACCAGTCAATAAAAAAGCAATAGACCACGAACACGCAGCAAAACCGAGCAACATACAACAAAAGCATCACACGAAAACTCAGCCCACAACCAACCTCTACCCGCCCGCCCCACACCCCTACATCACAGCCTCAACCATCCACCCCCTCACTCCCCGCATCCCTCCCCGCCCCCTCCCTCCCCTCTCCTCCCCTCTCCCCCCCCCCTCTCCCTCCCCTCTCCCTCCCCTCTCCAGCTGAAGTCGGGCTACTCCAAGACGGTGATGGAGATCAACACTCCGCGCATCGACCAGGTGCCCATCATCGACGTCATGTTTAATGACTTTGGCGACCCCAGCCAGCGGTTCGGGTTCGAGGTGGGCCCTGTCTGCTTCATGGGCTAGGACCTGACCACCCCCTTAACCTCCTGACCCCTGACCCCACACCCCCCGACCAGCTGAAGGACAGGGTTAAAGGGCGTTCTGTTCCATGCATGCCTTGTACTGCTGACTGAGTACCTGACATCAATCAATCACCCTATTCTCTCCTAGACCTGACCTGGCCTTGCCTCAAGTGCTCCAAACCAAACCTGTGTTTTATATCATTGATATGATCAGACCACCAGTATCAGACCACCAGTATCAGACCACAAGTATCAGACCACCAGCACGCTGCCCTACCACCTATAAAACGATGTGCCCCCCCCCCGCCCTAACCCCCATAGAACAACGTGCCCCCCTCCTCTGCCCTACCCCCCTTATAGAACAACGTGCCCCCCTCCTCTGCCCTACCCCCCCTAGAGAACAACGTGCCCCCCTCCTCTGCCCTGTCATAGAAGCATTGTCCCAGGGGAATACTCCTCGCCCTTGTAGGGCCAATCGCATAATGACTTTAACTTGTAACGAGAGGAAGTGACATCAGGAATAAAGGACGTTTGATGCCGTGGAAGGACAGTGGCGCACTTTCAGCAAACAGAGGGAGGAACCCACTCACCCCAACCCTCAATACCTATTTTTCTCTCCCTTGTCTCCCCTCTCCTTACCCCTTACCTTGATTAGAGGGAGGATCCACTCACCCCACCCAAGCCCCTTTCCTCCCCTCATCTCCCCACTCGTCCTTACCCCTTCACCCAACCTAGAGAGACGTTCCACTCACCCCCCAACCCCCCTTCCTTCCCCGTCTCCCCCCTCATCCCTCCCCCAGCCCAGCCTCCCTGTCTGGTAGCTCCAGTGCTGCTCCAGATACAACCACAGAGGTGCTTTTGTGCGGAACACAGAACACCAAAGGTGCTACAAAAAAATGCATTTTGAAAAACTGTAATTATTATTATTATTATTTTGTACAATACTGTTCTCTTTCTGAATCTACTCTTCAAAAAAGAAACTTGCATGTGTACCAAAACTTTTAATAATAATGTTTGAAATAAATGTCGGTTATACTATATAGAAAGTAAATTTGCAATAAATATATTTGTTTGTGTTAAATATCTGTTGAGAAATAAATGGGTGAGTAAGTAATACTAGGTTGTTGTGTTTGGGATACAGTGTAATATCAGCCATTGAATACAAATAATTATGAAGAATCTCCTTTGTAAATATTGACCATTATAAAGCACTTACAGCATTATTCTCACTCTCCAAGACTATACTATACAGTAAGGTTATATACACAGTAGCCTCATATACGGTAAGGGTTAATAAACCAAACTGGACTACAACAACAACCACCTCAAACCATGTTGTCTCATAACTGACTTGTGTTGTTGTTTTAAACTATTCCTTCCTGTTTTCATTATTTGTGCCCGGTAAATCAAGAATTTAAGATTGCAGAGTAATTTAAAATGAGTAATGTGAAAATGTCCACAAAGCCAGTACATATGCACTCAACAAGCTTCTTCTGCCAGATAGATTTTATCCCACAGAATGGTATACCTCAATCGCTCTATGTACATTAATGTTGAGATGCTATAGGATGGATGACAAACCCTGTATATACCTTGATTTATACAATTAAGTTAATATATTTGGGTGGGGAATTTTTTTTAAAGGAAAGAAAAATACTTCTTGTCTAGTTCCTAACAGTTTGTGAATGATGGCAAATAAATTAGCCCTTTATAGTTAGACCGTTTCTGTAACAGTAAATGAGGAAGTGTTTTCATGTGCTTTTGATGGTTGATTCATATTAAAACTGGATTCTGAACAATGTGTTGATTTGACCGTATTGTTCACTCTCTAGAGGGATTATACTTCCTTGTGATGATTCCATGTTGCTTTATTATGACAGATTATTTTCTCTTCGTCAAAGGATTAAATAATCCTAATCCTAATCCTTTTCAGATTAGGCTAATCTGTGGTGTGATGTGCCTGAGTCCTATAGATGGGTTAGCTGACAACGTCATGACAACGATGTGCACGTTTCAATGGGGCAGAAGTCCGTGTGTTGTTGTGATTCTGGGTGACAAGAAGCTGCCATGTGGGTAATCGTAGGTGGTTCGTTTCAGCTAGTTTCATCTTGTTCTTGATACCATGCCTTGTTTTGAGGTGTTTTGACTGATGTCACGTCTATGATAATATGGCTAGAATTCGCTAGCTAGCTAAATCACAACTGTGACGATGTGTTTGAGACAACGAGTGCTCATTGTGCAAATGCATTTATATTTTCAAAAAACATTTGGAGACTAAATATAGTTTAGATGTTACCAATCTAATTTTCTGTCATTTAGCAGACGCTCTTATCCAGAGCGACTTACATGAGCAATTAGGGTTAAATGCCTTGTTTAAGGGCACATCGACTGAATTTTTCAACCTAGTCGGCTCGGGGATTAGAACCACCGATCTTTCGGTTACTGGCACAACGCTCTTACCCACTAAGCCACCTGCCGCCCGTTTTAATCTAAGTTCAACCCCCCGTCTGTTTTGCCCCATGGTTGCGCACACATCGGTTTTGTTGCTAAACAACCAACCCGTCTATCGCTTCCGTTCTACCCACAATTCCCAAGCAAAAACCTGTAGGGGGTTCGGGGTCTCTTTCTATGACCAGTTTTTGATCTGAGGGGGGGCATCTCCCCCTCCCCCTTTCCCTTTCCCCCTTTTCCTTCCTTCACCCCTTCCCTTTCCCTTTCCCTTCCCTTTCCTTCCTTTTTCCCTTCCCTTCCCCAATATGACATTTTAAGTATCATTTTTTAAATAGAGAAAAAACCCAAAACCTTTTACAACCGTAAAATAATTTTTACAGTTTTTGTAAAATCTAAATTTTAAAAAAGTTTTGGAAAATTGCCAAAGCACATTGCAAGGGGTTTGTTTTCAATTGAAGAAAAATATTCTTGAAAAAGGGGGAAATGAGTGGGGGATAATTCTCCTCGCTTCCTCTTTTTCCCTTTCTTTCTGTGTCTTTTCCTCTTTTTTCTCTTCTCTCCCTATCTCTCTTTCTCTCTCTCTCTTATCTCTCTTCTCTTCTTTCTCTCTCTTTCTCCTCTCTTTTCTCTTTTCTCTTCTCTCTCCCCTCCTTTTACTCCCCGGGAAATTCTTTAAATAAAAATTTAATTTTTCCCAAACCCCAAACCCGGTAAAGATTAAGAAGAGAGGGCCCCCCAAACTTTGTCTCGGCCTGCCGCCCAAACCCTTACAAAAAAAATTGCATTTAGAGTGCATTTTATAACTTTTTTTTTTTTGGCCCGGCTTCATCTGTTTTGGGAAAAACTGGCCCCTGATATTTTTTGGGGAAATTGGGGGGCCCCTAACTCAAGGACGGGGGTTCAAAAAAACAAAAAAAACGTTATCTTCCCTACTTTAATTTTCCTGTTTCTGTGTGGGCCCAAAAGGGCCCAAAAAAACCCAAACACCAAAAAAACAAAAAACCCCCAACCAAAAAAAACAAAAAAAATTAAAAACCCCCCCAACCAATTTTTCCAACCAAAAAACCCTTTTTCCCACAAAACCATTTTTTGTGCACCACAGATTTTCTTCTCTCTCTTTTTCTTTCTTTTTTTTTTTTTCTCCCTTTTTCTCTCTTTTCTCCACAACCAAATTTAATTTTTTGGCTTTTGGTTTAAATTCCCTTCCTCTTCTCCCCCGGCTGGGTCTCTCCCCCTTTTTGGGGTTTCTCTTCTTCTTTTCTTCCCTGTTTCTTCTCTTTTTCCCTTTAAATTTGGGTTTTTGGGACGGGGGGTTTTTTGTGGTTAACATTCCCAAAAAAGCAAAAGTGGAATTTTAAAAAAATAGGAAAAAAAAAAAATTTAAAATTTAAAAACAATAAATATTAACGGGGAAAAAAACATTCCCACTAAGAATTTTTCAAAAAAAAATTAAAGACTTTTTTCAAATGTCATTTATGTTATAAAACATTTGTTTGTAACCAATGGGAAATGGGTTTAAAGAAACAAAGGGGGGAAAATAAATAAAATAAAATGGGTTTGTATTTACAATGGTGTTTTTCTTCACGGGTTCCCCTTTTTTTTTGGCAAACGGGTTCAAAAAATTTGCAGCTTTTGGGGGGCACACTGGGGTTTTTTCCCCCATTTAGAAAAGGGAAAGTTTACCCAAAATTTGGGTTTTTTTTTCAAAATCTTTGGGATCGCTGTAATTTTTTTTTTTTTTTTTTGGAAAGGGGAAATTTATGGTTTTTCCTAATATGGTCATACATTTTGGCGGGGTTGGAAGGGGGGTTTTTTTAGGAAAGTGCGGCGGCCTCATTTTTTTTTCCCCCTTTCTTTTGTGGGGCTTTGGGGGGGCAAAATACCCTTTTCTTCTTTTGGGCCAGGTCTGCTACGGGGGCCCCTTTCTCAAAAAGGGGAAGGGGCTATGCCATTAGTCTTTTTTAAAATAGTCAAAGTTTTTCCTTGGGTTGGGCCCAAGTCACAGTGGTCAAGTTCTGCACTTTTGACTCTCTTTAGGGCCAAATAGAATTTGGGTTTGCTCTGTTTTTTTTTTGTTTTTCCCAAAAAATTGTGTCAATTAATTCCCTTTTTGGGTTTTCTCATGATTTTGTTGGGTTTTTTTTGGTTTTTTGTTTTTGGGTTCCTGGGGCTGTGTGGGGTCTTTTTGGTTTGTAACGAGCCCCAGGAAAAGTTTAATTTAGGGGAGGTTTCCCCCAAGTTCATTTTCTCGGTAGGTGAAGGTTTTTTTTTAGGGAAAGGGTTTGGGAAAACCCTTTTCCTTTTTAGGTGGTTTTTTAGAATTTAACGGCTTTTTTTTTGGTTTGGGGTTTTGATAAATTTTGGGGGGGGGAGGGGGTTTTGGCCCTTTTAATTCGGCTCTGATGCATTATTTGGTTTTTTACGTTTGAAAACGGAGGATGTTTTTCAAAAATTCTGCATGCAGAGCCAAATTTGGGGGTTTTTTTTTTCCCCTTTTTGGGGGAATTCTTTGGTGGGGGGGGGGGGGGAAGCCGGGAACCCCAAAAAAGGGAAACCTCCCAAGGGAAACCAAAAAACCGGGGGAAAATTTTTGGGTTTTTTTTAATAATTTTGGGAATTTCCAACCGGTTTAATTTTTTTTTTTGGGGGGCCCAGTTTTTTTTCCCTAATTTTTGGGTTTTTTTAATGGGTTTTCCCCAAAAAAATTTGGGGGTTCCTTTGAGGGGCCCCCTAAAGGCCCCCCCTTGGGTTGGGTTTCCAAAAAAGATCTTTAAAAAACGGGTTTGGGTTGGAAGGGTTAAAAACCTGGGGGGTGTGGTTAGGGGGGGGGTATGAAGTTTTTTGGCTTGGGGAAGGTTTTTTGGGGGGGGGAATTTGTTTTGGGGTTGGCAATGGGTTTTTTGGGAAAATTATTTTTTGTTTTTATGAGTTTTAGGGTGGGCCCGGGGTTGGGAAGTTTTTGGGGTTGGGGTTGCTTGGGGCCCCTTCCTGTTGGGGGGCCAGGAAAGGGACGTCGCCCGGCTTTGTTTCCCCGGGGTTTTTGTAGGGGTTGGGCCGGGTTTGTTTTGGGGCCCTTGTTCTAGTCCCTCCCCAAAATTCTTTTGATAAAATATTTTTAAAAAGAGGGGGGGGGCTTAAAACTGCACCCCTGTCTCCCCCCAGGGCCCTGGGGGAAAGGGAAATGTGTGTTTTTTTCCAAATTTTTAAAACCGCCCCACTTTTTTGGTTTGGTACATGGATTTTATAATGTCTAGGGTTTTTCCCCCAACCCCCTTTTTTTTTTCCCCCCCCCAAAAAAAAAATTTTTGGTTTTAAAAAAAAAAAGTTTTTTTTTTGTTTTGGGGGTTTTTTTTTTAAAGGGGGTGAAATTTTTTTTTTGGGGGGGGAAAAAAAAAAAAAATTTTACATTTGCTCAGTACTTTTTTTGGGAAAAAATTTGGGGGGAAAAATTTGGGGGGAAAAAAGGGTTTTTTCCCCCCCTTTTTAAAAGGGGAAATTTTTCCCTTTTTTTTTGGGGGGGGGCCCCCGGTTCCCTTTTTGGGGGAAAACCCAAAAAAATTTTTAAAGAGTTTAAATAAGCCAATTAAATTTTGGGGTTTATTTTATTTATTGAGGATACCATCAACACCCCTTTTTTGGGGGGGGGGGTTTTTATTTTATCCTTTTTATTCAATGTAATTTGGGAAAAGGGGGTTTTGGGGTTTTTTAAAAAATTTTTTTTTTTTTTTTTTTTTTTTTGTTTTTTCCAAAAAGGGGAAAAAAAAATTTTAAAAAAATTTTCCCTTTTTTTTTGGGTTTTTTTTTTTTTTTTTTCCCAAATTTTAGAATTTTTTTTTTTTAATTTTTTTTTTTTTTTTCCTTTTTTTTTTGGTTTTGGTTTTTTTGAAAATTAAGGGTTTCTGGGGTTTTTGGGGGTTTTTGGTTTTTTTTTTTTTTTTCTTAATTTTCTTTTTTTTTATCAAATTTTTTTTTTTTTTTTTTTGGTTTTTTAAAATTTTTTAAAAGGGGGGGAAAAAAATTTTTTGGGTTTCAACCCCGGGTTTTTTCCCGGAAAATTTTTTTAAAAAATTTTTTTTTTTTTTTTTTTTGGGGGGGGCCCCCCCCTTTTTTTTTTTTTAAAAAATTTTTTTTTTTAAAACCCCAAGATTTAATTTTTTGGGGGGAAACCCTTTTATTTTTTTCTTTGGGGGGGGGGTTTTGGGCCCCGTTGGGGGGGGGGGTGAAAAACCCCCCCCCAAAAAAAAAAAGGGTTAAAATTTTGGGGGGGGTTTTTTTTTTTAAAAAAAAATTTTCCCCTTTTTTGGGGGGGCCCCAAACCTTTTTGGGGTTTTGGGGGGGGGGTCCCCGGGGGGTTTTGGGGGAAACCCAAAAAAATTTTTTTTTTTATCCCCCCTTTTTTTTTTTTTGGGGGGGGGGGGGGGGGCCCCCCCAAAAAAAAAAGGGGGGGGAAAAAAAAAAAAGAAAAAAAAAGGGGGGGGAAAAAATTAAAAAAAAAATTTTTTTTTGGGGGGCCCCCCAAAATTTTTGGGGTTTTTTTTTTTCTTAAAAAAGTTTGATAAAATTTTTTTTTTTTTTTTTGGGGGGAAAAGGGGGGGGCCAAGCAAAAAAAACCGGGGGGGGGGGGGAAAAAAAAAAAGGAAAAAAAAAATTTTTTCCCAAAATTTTTTTCCCCCTGGTTTTTTTTTTGGGTTTTTTTTTGGGGGGGGTTTTTTTTTTTGGTTTTTTAAAAAAAAAAACCCCCCCTTTTTAGGGGGGAAATTTTTGGGGGGGGGGGGAAAAAAACCCAAAAAAAAAAGGGGGGGAAAAAAAAAAAAAAAAAAAAACAAAAAGGGGGAAACAGGGGACCCCAAAAAAAAAAACAGGGAAAAAACATTTAAAAAAGGGTTTTTTGGGGGGGGTTTGGGGGTTTTTTTTCCCCTTTTTTTGGGGGGGGGGGTTTTTTTTAAAAGGGGGGGGCCCCGGGGGGCCCTTTTTTTTTCAATTTTTTTTTTTTTCAAATTTTTTTTTTTTTTTTTTTGGGTTTTTTGGGAAAAACCCAAAAAAAAAAAAAAAAAAAAAAAAAAAAAGGGGAAAAAAAAAAAAAGGGGGGGAAAAACCCCCCCAAAGAAAAAGGGGGGGGGGTTAAAATTTTTTTTTAATTTTTTTTTTAAAAAAAGGGTTTTTTTAAAGGGGGGTTTTTTTTTTTCCCAAAAAATTTTAAAATTTAAAAGGGGTTTTTTTTGGGGGTTTTGGGGGCCCCCCAAAAGGGGGGGAAAAAAACCTTTTTTTTTAAAAGGGGTTTTTTTTTTTTTTAAAAAAAAGGTTTTTTTCTTTTTTTTTAAAAACTTTTCCCAATTTTTTTTTAAAAAAAAAAAAAAAAAAAAAATTTTTAAAGGGGGAAAAAAACAAACCCCGGAAGGGAAAAAAAAATTTTTAAAAAACCCCCCCCCCCCAAAACCCCAAAAAAAAATTTCCCGGGGTTTCCCCCCCATTTTCCCCCGGGGCCCCCCAAAAAAAAAACCCCCTTTCCCCCCAAAAGTTAAAAAAGGGGGCCCCCCAAAAGGGGGAACCCCCCCCCCCCCCCCAAAAAAAAAGGGGGGAAAAGGGGGGAAAAAAAAAAAAGGGAACTTGTTAGTGGAGGAGTTGGAGACAGACAGACAGACAGACAGACAGACAGACAGACAGACAGACAGACAGACAGACAGACAGGACAGACCAGACAGACAGACAGACAGACAGACAGACGACAGACAGACAGACAGACAGACAGACAGACAGACAGACAGACAGACACAGACAGACAGACAGACAGACATAGTTATATATGAGTGTTGACTCTAGTGGGGTTAATATCAGTGGGATTGGAATTGACACCACCTGCGGTGAATACAGGAAGTGTTATTTGAATCAGAGTGGAATCAACACCACCTGGTGTTAATTACCGTTACCTCTCTCAGAGTGAAAAAGACATGGGGCCTAATTATCATATTTCCCAGCATGTTTTGTTGCAGGTTGCTTTTTTTTTTTATAGTTTGTTTTAATATCTATGTTTCTGCATGCACATTTATTCATTATTTGATCTTATACTACACAAAGATAAATAACATAAATGTTTCTAAACTAATCCAATCTGTAGGTGGTTGAATTTATTTCACCCATTGAGATGGTTGTTCCAGTTTAGATGGGTTTAGGTAGGTTTCATTTATCTTCCCTACCCTGGCAGTCATTCTAACTGCAGATTGCAAGTGATTAAAAGTTCCAATTGTCTGATATCCTAACTCCGGCTGGATTCCAACAGGAATTCTATAACACTTTGCAAGCCGGCATAATGTGACTTGCTGATGTGGCCTGCAAACCAGGAGTTTCAGGTCACTGTGTTAAGGTAAAACTAGGCTGTTGAAGTATGGTATTGTGAAACAAAGTAATGCATTGTCATTACATTTGTATGATGACATATTGACTTAGGCACTCACTTGGTGAAGGCTACAGGACTGAAAGCCATCAAATGCAACAATCATGTCTCTGTCACTAGCAAACACAGTCACTAGCAAACACAGTCACTAGCAAACACAGTCACTAGCAAACACAGTCCTAGCAAACACAGTCACTAGCAAACACAGTCACTAGCAAACACAGTCACTAGCAAACACAGTCACAGGTGGTACTGACACCTATAAAATTCACTCAAAAGGCACCCTGGGAAATAAATATGCAAATGTGGGCTTTACACCTTACGATGTTAATACAACATCCCAAAAGGAGTTACTGTAATACTGCAGGTGTTAATTCCCTAACACTGAGTGGCAGCATCAGCTCTAATAAGGGGTTAATTTAAGTCGGAAGTTGCAACACTCATGGTGTTAGAGACCTATCACTCTGGGGGGTTTAGTTTATCAACACTTTGAAAAGTGTTAGTTTAACACTATTTGAGATGGTCACTTAATGTGTTACATTTAACACTGTGGGTGTTCAAATTCCGATTGCAAATTTGCTGTGATTCGACCGATGAGGCGAGTGTCGCTAAATGATGTCATATCCGCTCTGCAGGTGCCTGTACATCACTGATGTTTGACCACCCGGTTCTGTTCCGCTGCCACAGACTTTCACACCTCACATTCAGTCACGAGCAGCTGTTGTTACCAGTCCCGCGCTGCCCACATGGCTTGCGCGTTCTGAGCGGTGGTGTATGTGATGACTAGTCTGGCATGGATCTACCTTCGCTCTCTTTCTCTGGAGTCTTGGTATTTAAACACCAGGCATTTTACCGTTATTTAACCGGCAGAACCACCAGTCATCCTCTACCCTGATTGAGCGACGCGTGAAACATACAGGGAGAGAGGACAAGCGAGGGTGACCCGTTTGCGGGCAGAATGCGGCCGCTGTCGGTGGTGCTGAATCCGCTGCTGTTTCTATTGACTTTCGACTACTGCCCTTCTGTGGTGAGTTGAGTTTCATCTGCAATACACTGTGCTATACTTCAGGGAAAATTAGGAGTTAGATTAAATGAGTTATTAGTTATTGGTTAGATTAAAACAACTGCATAATTATACTTTTAGGCAGATAGACTGATGTGATTTGAAGTTCGTATTAAAATGTGTGGTGTTGGAATGATATATGTGGGTCGGGCAGGTGTGATGTAGTTGATGTTTGTGTGATGTTGTCGTTTGTATGTTTTGTATTGTTAAAAATAAATAAAAATTCTTACAAAAAAATGATATTGAGAAGCCAAATATAAGCTTGAATCGCTTTCACTGAGGAGCTGAGCGAATGGAGAAACTTGATTTATTGTTTCAAAGATTTACTTAAAACATGACAGCATAGGGAAGCTGAAAGCTAAGCTGCTCTTCTAGAGCGTCGATAGACTGAGAGAGAGGAGAGCAGCGGTAGAGGTATGGATACTCGCTCCTGTAGATAGATCTATCTCTTCTCTCTCTCTCTCTCTCTCTCTCTCTCTCTCTCTCTCTCTCTCTCTCTCTCTCTCTCTCTCCTCTATCTCTGCATATATTTTGATCCTTGGATGTTGCCAGAGAAGTAACCCTCTGTTAATGGTGGGTTCAATTATCATAGACACAATGATACTGCCCTACTGGCTGTAAAAGAAAGACAAACGATCTGAGACATGGAAATGAGGTTTGAATAGTTGGCTTTTCATAGAGCAATTTATTTATACTAGCTTCATACTGAGACACGAAAATGTGGCCGATTTCTCTGGTGTGTATAATAGCCTAAACGTCCATGAACAAATGTTCTGTATATACTAGATGGTGTACAATAGATCATACTACACTAGATTGTCCTTTAGAAATGGAAATGAGGTACATTATTTTCACAGAGCAATATATACTTAGCTGAAATCGATAGATCTGTAGTACTTACCCTACAATACTATAGATATTAAACCACTATATTATAATTCTACTCCACTACAATATTATACTATCCTACCCAATAATACTACATATGCTATATACTCCAAAACGCTATATATCCATTTTCAGAAATGTTGGTAAATTGGCTTTACATTTTTTTAAAGAACTTATGAAAGAGATTGATGTGTTTTTTTACAGCATCTAATCATGGCATGGGTTTGTTTGACATCGATCACTTGATGGTTTCATGTCAGTGAGACAAATAATCATGTTTTTTTTTTTCTTTCAAAACTCTATATATCCTCGTCCCTCTCAGAGAAATCAGTAATACTGTTAGGTTTTACACAGTGAAATGAAATGTAACAAATAACTACATTTTTTTATGAAGAACTGTACAAATTATACATTTGTGACATCAATATATATCTTTTTTTAAATTAAAAAATGAATCAATACAGTAATATGAGATCTCTATGTAAAACATTTACATTTGACATTTTAGTTATTTAGCAGATGCACTTATGCAGAGCGACTTACAGTTAGTGCATTCATCTTAAGATAGCTAGACGAGACTTCGGTCACCAGCTAGACGGGGCTTCCGGGTTAAGCGAGCAGTATTTCAAGAAGCAGTGCGGCTTGGCAGGGGTCGTGTTTCAGAGGACGCATGGCTCTCGACCTTCGCCTCTCCCGAGTCCGTAGGGGAGTTGCAGCGATGGGACAAGACTGTAACTACCAATCGGATATCTCGAAATTGGGGAGAAAACTGGGGTAAAAAGTACCCCCCCAAAAAATTATAATACAAAAGATAGCTAGGTGAGACAACCACATACAGTGGGGGGAAAAAGTATTTAGTCAGCCACCAATTGTGCAAGTTCTCCCACTTAAAAAGATGAGAGAGGCCTGTAATTTTCATCATAGGTACACGTCAACTATGACAGACAAAATTAGAAAAAAAATCCAGAAAATCACATTGTAGGATTTTTAATGAATTTATTTGCAAATGATGGTGGAAAATAAGTATTTGGTCAATAACAAACGTTTCTCAATACTTTGTTATATACCCTTTGTTGGCAATGACACAGGTCAAACGTTTTCTGTAAATCTTCACAAGGTTTTCACACACTGTTGCTGGTATTTTGGCCCATTCCTCCATGCAGATCTCCTCTAGAGCAGTGATGTTTTGGGGCTGTCGCTGGGCAACACGGACTTTCAACTCCCTCCAAAGATTTTCTATGGGGTTGAGATCTGGAGACTGGCTAGGCCACTCCAGGACCTTGAAATGCTTCTTACGAAGCCACTCCTTCGTTGCCCGGGCGGTGTGTTTGGGATCATTGTCATGCTGAAAGACCCAGCCACGTTTAATCTTCAACGCCCTTGCTGATGGAAGGAGGTTTTCACTCAAAATCTCACGATACAATGCCCCATTCATTCTTTCCTTTACACGGATCAGTCATCCTGGTCCCTTTGCAGAAAAACAGCCCCAAAGCATGATGTTTCCACCCCCATGCTTCACAGTAGGTATGGTGTTCTTTGGATGCAACTCTTTGTCCTCCAAACACGACGAGTTGAGTTTTTACCAAAAAGTTCTATTTGGTTTCATCTGACCATATGACATTCTCCCAATCCTCTTCTGGATCATCCAAATGCACTCTAGCAAACTTCAGACGGGCCTGGACATGTACTGGCTTAAGCAGGGGGACACGTCTGGCACTGCAGGATTTGAGTCCCTGGTGGCGTAGTGTGTTACTGATGGTAGGCTTTGTTACTTTGGTCCCAGCTCTCTGCAGGTCATTCACTAGGTCCCCCCGTGTGGTTCTGGGATTTTTGCTCACCGTTCTTGTGATCATTTTGACCCCACGGGGTGAGATCTTGCGTGGAGCCCCAGATCGAGGGAGATTATCAGTGGTCTTGTATGTCTTCCATTTCCTAATAATTGCTCCCACAGTTGATTTCTTCAAACCAAGCTGCTTACCTATTGCAGATTCAGTCTTCCCAGCCTGGTGCAGGTCTACAATTTTGTTTCTGGTGTCCTTTGACAGCTCTTTGGTCTTGGCCATAGTGGAGTTTGGAGTGTGACTGTTTGAGGTTGTGGACAGGTGTCTTTTATACTGATAACAAGTTCAAACAGGTGCCATTAATACAGGTAACGAGTGGAGGACAGAGGAGCCTCTTAAAGAAGAAGTAACAGGTCTGTGAGAGCCAGAAATCTTGCTTGTTTGTAGGTGACCAAATACTTATTTTTCACCATAATTTGCAAATAAATTCATAAAAAATCCTACAATGTAATTTACTGGATGTTTTTTCCTCAATTTGTCTGTCATAGTTGACATGTACTCATGCTGAAAATTACAGGCCTCTCTCATCTTTGTAAGTGGGAGAACTTGCACAATTGGTGGCTGACTAAATACTTTTTTTCCCCACTGTATCACAGTCAAATATACAGGATACGAACATTCCATTCCAGCTAAACAATGAATATATGTTCATACACACCTAAAATCTATCAATTAAAAATCTGAGAACAGTAATATTTTACACACACATGAAGGTGCCTATAAGCAATCATTTCTGGTGAAGAAACACAAATATGACAAATTGGTGGATGTAGCTTTTTGGAAATAAACTTCATATATTAGACCATATTTTACTACATTACTTTGGCCCTTTAAATGACCTTCCTGTGGTGATGTGTATTGAAGTAATTTAAGCTTTGATAATGACTCTTATTTTCAGGATCATTTAAATTAAAGGGAAGCAGATTGGTCCATCAAGTCATTTAGACAGTGGGGAGATGGTCGATTAGCTAGCCTGCCCACTGCCCTGCCCACTGCCCTGCCCACTGCCCTGCCCACTGCCCTGCCCACTGCCCTGCCCACTGCCCTGCCCACTGCCTGGCTGTCTATTAGCCTATACCCTATTCCCTATATAGTCCGTAGAGCCCTATGTGCCCTGGTCAAAAGTAGTGCACTAGAAAATGAATAAGGTGCCATTTGGGATGCAGGCCATGTCTGTGTGCCCGTCTCTTCATTTTATAATGTTACTCTCTTAGCCACGACAGCCGAGACATCTCTTTGGGGTAATTGAAACTTCTGTAGAGAATTAATGTTGTGTGATTATTCATGGCACACAGACAGGCAGACAGGCAGACAGGCAGACAGGCAGACAGGCAGACAGGCAGACAGGCCAGTGGCAGGACAGATTAGCATCCTGGATCTGAGAGGCTAAATAAACGAACGGGTGCTGAAGTCAGACTAACTGAGCAGAACAGAAGCAGAGCAGCTGCTGCTGGGCAACGTGACAGAGCAGAACCATAGAACTAGAATGAATAGAACATAGAAATTGAATCATCAGATTCATTAGAATCTTTAGAATCGTTAGTATTTCATTCTTATTCTATGGACTGGAACTTTGGTCATTGTAATTTATGAGCAGAACTTTCCATTCATCAGAACATAAAGCATTGTCATGGAGGGTGTAGTTAGTGGCAGCATGTCAGTCCATCCGGCTTGGATCTGGTACAGCTGGATGGGAATGTGGAGGGATGCGGAGAGATGTGTGTGTGTCAGGAAGGAGATAAGATAGCCAGAAGGATGTATGTCACACAAGGAGGAAGAGATCCCATTTTGGTGACACACCCAATTCCTCCTCTTCCATCGATCAATAAACGTGATTCAATTGGATTCAATTCATCCATAGAGCCTGGAGGATCTGGCCTCCAATTGAGCTTTCTAAACCACACTGAAAATAACTGAGTTTTTTTTTTTTCTAAGGCCATTTGGTACTGAGATCCAGATTTCACTGCCTGCCAAGAGACTAACTCACTGAGTCACGACTGAAGCGGCCTCACAACTAACTGAACTTTCCTCTATTGTCTCCATTCAATCTGAACGTCCTCTTATATCTGTGAACTTGACAGCGACAAATAGAGATGAAAAATGTCTTTGCCCATCAGATGGTCATACTTTGACTGATCCTTCAAAGCTTCTGTAGCCTAAATGGAGTGTGGAGAGAGACAAGGGGTTTGGACATAACCTTAAAGTAATCTTAGACATAACCATAACCGTACAGATACAGTTTGTATGGGCACATGCTTGGACTCTTGCATCAGGTATTTATTGTTAGGAGGAATATCCATCAGAGACTGTTTGCGGATTATCCCATGTTTAATATCAAGTTCACTGTCAAAAGTACCTATCCAAGATGGCCCCCATGTCGCCTGACAGCTCAGGTGACAGGTCAGGTGACAGGTCAGGTGGTTACCAGCTGACCATATTAAAGATTGCCACCACACACACTCACCACACCAAACAATTCATTGTGCATGGTTACATGTACAGGTCGGATTATCGGATGGTCAGATTAATATAATAGTTAGTTTAAAACGTTTACATGCTTTGCAAGAAGAACGATTTCCCTAATAATCCTGTTTACATGGAAACATCTTAAATCAGGCTACTCAAATCACATTTTATTTGTCACGTGCGCCGAATACAACAGGTGTAGACCTTACAGTGAAATGCTTACAAGCCCTTAACCAACAATGCAGTTTTAAGAAAAATAAGTGTTAAGTAAAAAATTGATAAGTAAAAATAAAAAAAGAAGAAAAACATTTTTTTTTACTAATAATTAAAGAGCAGCAGTCAAATAAAATAACAGTAGGGAGGCTATATACAGGGGGTACCGGTACAGAGTCAATGTGCGGGGGCACTGGTTAGTCGAGGTAATTGAGGTAATATGTACATGTGGGTAGAGTTAAAGTGACTATGCATAGATAATAAACAGATGGGACTTTTGATAAATGCAGAAAATCGCCCAATCAAAATAAATGTTCTACCACAGTGACCATGTTATTTTTGCCAATACTTGTTTATTCTTAATAAGTTCTTATGAGTTCTATGTTCCTAATAATTTGAAAGATTGCTCAGAAAACCAGGTGTTTTAATTAGCTAATGCTTATTTAGATGATGACCTTACAATATGCAGAGGAAGGCATTTACATGATTATTGCCGCACTCGGCCCACTGCCATAATCACTTTCATTTCCAATGTGTTAGTGTGATTGTAAATAAACTCATTGTCTGGCAGCCATCATCCCAGTACACTCCAGCATGCGTCATTGAATGAAGTGAGTTCTCGATCTGAATATCTGATGTTTTGCAGTTCCTTACTTATCAGATGTGTTTGAACCTTACTTTTGATGCATTACTGCCCTATTCTTTGGATATTGCTACTTTTCCTTTAGCATTTAGCATATTGTTCATTCAAGTACTGCTGCCTACCTCTTTGTTGAAGAGTTATGTGAGATGTTATATTGCTTTAGCATTTAGCCTTTAGCCTATTGGCCACTTAAATTACTGCCATTTCAGTTAGCTACTTTTAGCACTTTGTGGTATCGTTGAACTGTGTAGCCGGGGTAACTGGAGTCTGATGTACGATGATGTCGGATATGATAACTGCCACTTGTTTCCTGTTGTTCTCAGAACCATTCTATAACTTCAATGATGATTGACCTGCCTAAATAAAACCCATCAAAATGATCAAAGAGAAACCTAGACCATTTCTTACAGAGACCATTTTATTGTGAAATGAACTCACTTGAACATGTGTGCGCGCCACCGTGTGTGTGTGTGTGTGTGTGTGTGTGTGTGTGCGTGCGTGCGTGAGTGTGAGTGTGTGTGTGTGGGTGTGGGTGTGTGTGCGTGTGCGTGTGCGTGTGCGAGTGTGTGTGTGTGTGTGTGTACGTGAGTGTGTGTGTGTGTGTGTGTGTGTGTGTGTGTGTGTGTGTGTGTGTGTGTGTGTGTGTGGTGTGTGTGTGTGTGTGTGTGTGAGTGTGTGTGTGTGTGTGCGTGTGTGTGTGCGTGAGTGTGTGCGTGTGTGTGTGCGTGTGTGTGTGTGAGTGTGTGTGTGAGTGTGTGCGTGAGTGTGTGTGTGTGTGTGTGTGTGTGTGTGTGTGTGTGTGTGTGTAGACAGTCAGGCCGAAGGAGGGTTGGAAGGTGTACAGCTCGGCCCAGGATGCAGATGGCAGGTGTATCTGTACGGTGGTGGCTCCTGAACAGAACCTCTGCTCCAGAGATGCCAAGGGAAGACAGATCCTACAGCTAATGGAGAAGGTACTGGACACACACACACTGATACACACACACACACACACACACTGATACACACACACACACTGTAGCTCAGTTGGTAGAGCATGGCGCTTGCAACGCCAATGTTGTGGGTTCGATTCCCACGGGGGGCCTGTATTATAAAAAATATATATATATATATATAAAAAAACATGTATGCACTCACTAACTGTAAGTCGCTCTGGATAAGAGCGTCTGCTAAATGACTAAAATGTAAAATGTACTGATACACACACACACACACACACACACACACACACACATACACACACACTGATACACACACACTGATACACACTGATACAAAACAGATAGACTGATTCTGATACACATACACTGACACACACACACACACACATTGATACACACACACTGATATACACACACACTAATACACACACACACACACACACTGATACACACACACTGATACACACACACTGATACACACACACTAATACACACACTGATACACACACACTAATACACACACACTAATACACACACTAATACACACACACTGATACACACACACTGATACACACACACTGATACACACACACTGATACACACACACTGATACACACATACTGATACACACACACTAATACACACACACTGATACACACACACTGATACACACACACTGATATACACACACTAATACACACACACTAATACACACACACTGATACACACACACTGATACACACACACTGATACACACTCACTGATACACACACACTGATACACACATACTGATACACACACACTAATACACACACACTGATACACACACACTGATACACACACACTGATATACACACACACACACACACACTGATACACACACACTAATACACACACACTGATACACACACACTAATACACACACACTGATACACACACACTGATACACACACACTAATACACACACACTGATACACACACACTAATACACACACACTGATACACACACACTGATATACACACACTGATACACACACACTGATACACACATACTGATACACACACACACACACTGATACACACACACTGATATACACACACACTAATACACACACTGATACACACACACTGATACACACACACTGATACACACACACTAATACACACACACTGATACACACACACTGATACACACACACTGATACACACTCACTGATACACACACACTGATACACACACACTGATACACACATACTGATACACACACACACACACTGATACACACACACTGATATACACACACACTAATACACACACTGATACACACACACTGATACACACACACTGATACACACACACTAATACACACACACTGATACACACACACTAATACACACACACTAATACACACACACTGATACACACACACACTGATACACACACACTGATACAAACACACTGATATACACATACTGATACACACACACACACTGATACACACACACTGATATACACACACACTAATACACACACACTAATACACACACTGATACACACACACTGATACACACACACTAATACACACACACTGATACACACACACACTGATACAAACACACTGATACACACACAATGACACACACACTGATACACACAAACACACACTCATTATGAACCAACTTCATTAGCATTACTCATCTATGATGATAATGTATGAAACATGTATTTTATCTGTAGAGCGCACCAGGGTAGTGAGTCTAGGTAATTCACTGTGGTCCAGTGTGGTAAAGTTAACACTAATGTACAAGCAACCCTTAGGGGAGTTTCAACCGGGCCATTTCAGGATCCCACCATTGGAGTCAGAGGAGCATGGATAATATAACCCTGTCTGTGTCCCAAATGGCACCCTAGTGCCTATATAGTGCACTACTTTAGACATAGGGCTTTTGAAAGGTGCCATTTTGGGATGCACATACAGAGTTTGAATGCGATGCCACTTTGCGGGTGGAAACACAGTGGTGATAGAGGAATCGTTGTAACTGTTGGCTGCTCTTGGTTTCAGATACCCATTCCACACCAACTGATGAGCTATGGGATATTTCAATGAGCCAGTACTCTTTACTTGACTTTTATAATATATTTGGATTTGTTTAACACTTCTTTGGTTACTACATGATTCCATATGTGTTATTTCATAGTTTTGATGTCTTCACTGTTATTCTACAATGTAGAAAATAGTAAAAATAAAGAAAGACCCTTGAATGAGTAGGTGTGTCCAAACTTTTGACCGGGAGTGTATGTAAGATGTTGAAGAAAATAAAACAGATACGATGATATAAAGTGATCTATAACGGCGCATTGGTCTGCGATGCTTTATCCTAGAAACAAGCTGTAAAATACCCGGGAAAGACGTGACTCAAATCAAATCAAATCAAATTTTATTGGTCACATGCGCCGAATACAACAGGTGCAGACATTACAGTGAAATGCTTACTTAGAAAGAAAGACGTGACTCGGATGCGTATGGGGATATCACGATGCCGCCCCTCATCTCTGATTCTCTGCCGCTCTGCAATATCAACCCATAGGCTATTCAGTGTCTCAATCAAATGATCCATAGCCTATAGGCCAGGGGTACTGAAGTACTATTTGAGAAGGTCCGGTCACACAAATGTCCTAGGTGGCAAAGGTCCAGATGGATAATGTAATTTATCGGCGTAGTAATAAACCCGAACACCAAACTGTTCACACCCCTCTTGTTGGCGGAGAGAAAATGTTGTAGTTTTAAAGCTACTTTCCCGCAATTCTACATATTTTGCATGGGGGGGGGGGGGGGGGGGGGAGATTATTTTTTTCTGTTTTAAAGCTAATTTCCTGCAATTCTACGCATTCTTCCATGTCTTATGTGTGTTTATATGATATCGGGGTCGAAGCCCGACCAAAAAAAACACACATAAATTCAAATAAAAAACATAATGTTTTTGGGACCTGTGGTCCGTATTGACCACGTTCTGGGTCCGGATCCGGTAGGCTATGAAGTGCATGCTCGGAGAAGCACAGAGCAAAGTTATATTTCAAGGAAAATGTACTTCCTTCCTGAGTCTTTTGCGCTGCTGGGATGGTGTAAATAAAACTAGGCTGCATTACAAACTGCAATGGATATTCCAACCCTGAGCCCCTGACCTGCTCTGCTCTTGCTGATCAAAAACGTTTTTGTGTGCTGCTTAACCAATGGCTGTGCTGTGTAGGGCCACGATGGCAGTTCAGGAGGAGAGTCAAGGGTATATTCTCCGAAAATAATTTTTGATTAGGCCTAATCCAAAAATTCACTATCTTGTGCATGGACTAGCCTATAGCCTATGTTCTGTTTAGTTTGAGAAGGAGAGCGTTAAAGATGAGAAGGAGGACTGGAGGTCAACTTTGATAGCTTTCTACAACTATAATTGCATTTATTAAAAACAATATGTTTCTTGTCCATGATGTATTTATTCGAGTTATTGTCCTCACAATAAGCCCGAGTCTAGTAACTTACATTTTGGCGCTGAAACTTGAAGCAGCAGCCGGGGCACAATCAATCAGAAATGGACAGCTCATGGTGCTGAAAGTAGGCAAATTCGTGTAGGCATAATTCATTTCAACCGTCTTCATTTTAATTAGACTTACTAACAACAAGAGGGCTGTGTGTTGGATCCTATTTCTTCCTATTTAAGAAATAAGAGGTAGGCCTTCCTGTTTGACAGAGGAAATGAGGCTATATAGGCTGCCATATCCATAGATTTTGTCGGTCAATTCCTCCACCCACTATTTAAATACCCTACCTCCGTGTCAGTGAAGGGCTGTTAAATTCAAACCAGGACTCGGATTAAGGGGGTATGAGAGGGTATGCCATAGGCCTACCTTTTATTAAAGAAAATGGCAAAAAGGTCTACCCCTTGTTAGTTTAAGATTTTAAAGAAAATAAAACGGATATGATTATATTAAGTGATCTATAACAGCGCGTTGGTCCGCGATGCTTTATGCTAGAAACAAGCTGTAAAATACCCGGGAAAGACGTGACTCCGATGCATATGGGGATATCATTGTTTTGTTTCTTTGACAGTCAGAGGTTGACTTTGCTTGGGAAGTAATCTAATTCTGTCACTATCATTTGATTAAGCTATTCACTTTATGTACTATTTGAAGATGCTTAAACCTAGACAGCTTTTAGGGAAACACTTGTGACCTTCTCTGGGTTAAACCACGGAAGAAGAGTAGCCAGCAGTTAAAGCTTAAATTTTTCTGCGTCAGTAGGCCTACTCTGTCTGGGGTGGAGAGGTAGGCCTAACTTTTGAAAGTACCATGCTGAGATTCCTAATGACGTCTCAGATTTATCTTGGCCAGGACGCTCTTGAAAAAGAGATTTCAAATCTCAATGAGCCCTTCCTGGTTAAATAAAAAAATATAAAATAAAAATGTAATTATTGCAAACCGGGACAGTTTCGTTGCAACCAAGACACACCGATTTGGCATTGGAGAAACATAAGATGAACACATAGGCCTATCTCTCTGTCCATTCTTAGCCTGTAATTTCGGTAATTTGTGTGGTATAAAAAAAGATTCCTCTAATATGTAAAATAAGGTAGAATTGCATGAAATTATTATATAAAAGTTATTTTTTTCTCGGATGATAGATTCATACAATGCTTTTGCTATAAAGTAGATATTCCCACCCCTACTCTTGTCCACGGTGGTCTGCGAACCCACAACCTTCTGGCCCGCAGCCCTGAGGGCTATAATATTTTTTGGCCCTGCAATGCGTACAGGACGAAGAACAGTTTCTAAAACGGCATATCTAAGAAGTGAGGGTAAACGGTAGACGTGTTCTCTGCTATCCACTTTGTTTAAATTCTTTTTTTGTGTTATAGGAGAGGGTTTAGGTAAAATATATTTTGGCCATATAACCCTTTTTATAAATAATGTTCCCAAACTTGATGGAAAAATACAAAAGTACTACAGAGGTTTGATCCTGTGGAGGGACAGATTCCTCATTCTCTTCATCTATGGTGCAGAACATCTATTGTCTTCTTCTCTTGTCCCCTAGGTCCAGAACATGTCCCAGTCCATTGAGGTACTGAACCTGCGGACCCAGAGAGACTTCCAGTACATCATGAGGATGGAGGGCCAGTTCAAAGGGCTAAGGTCAAAGTTCAGACAGGTAGAGGCCGACAGGAAGACACACGTCAACAGAAACTTTCAGGTGTGAAAAATACAGATTTGTTTCTGGTTGTTATACGGTTCTGACCTCGCTTTAACCAGAACATGACCTTATTATATGGTATTTTATCAGAACATGACCTTATAACGTCTTTAACCAGAACATTACATTATAGTAATTTAGCAGACGCTCTTATCCAGAACGACATAGAGGAGCAATTAGGGTTAAGTGCCTTGCTCAAGGGCACATCGACACCAATGTGCTTACCCACTAGGCTACCTGCCGCTAAGCTACATTATAAAGTCTTTAACCAGAACATGACCTTATTATAATGTCTTTAACCAGAACATGACCTTAATATAACGTCTTTAACCAGAATTGCATTAACTTCAACCAAATCGAAACTGAACTGACCTGAATCAAACTAAACCATGTGTATCCTCCCCTTCCTCCAGGAGTTGAAGGGTAAGATGGAGGCCCTGCAGCCTCTGATCCGGGTGTTGGAACAGTACAAGACAGACGCCCAGCTCATCACCCAGTTTAAACAGGAGATCAGGAACCTCTCCATGGTGCTCACAGCCATCCGGGAGGAGATAGGAGCCTATGACTCTGAGGAACTACAACAGAGGGTCCTGAATCTGGAGAGCAGGCTACGCAACTGCATGAGCAAACTCAGTGAGTCACACACACACACACACACACACGCATGTAGGCACCTGCACACACACACAAATCAAATCAAATGCTATTTGTCACATGCGCTGAATACAACAGGTGTAGACCTTACCGTTAAACGCTTACTTACAAACCCTTAACCAACAATGCAGAGTTAAAAAGTAAGAAAAATTTGCTAAATTAAAAAAGTAAATAGTAACACAATAAAATAACAATAACGAGGCTATAAACAAGGAGTAGCGGTACCAAGTCAATGTGCAGGGGTACGAGGGAGTTGAGGTAATAACAAGGCCATATACAAGGAGTAGCGGTACCAAGTCAATGTGCAGGGGTACGAGGGAGTTGAGGTAATAACAAGGCTATATACAAGGAGTAGCGGTACTAAGTCAATGTGCAGGGGTACGAGGGAGTTGAGGTAATAACAAGGCTATATACAAGGAGTAGCGGTACCAAGTCAATGTGCGGGAGTACGAGGGAGTTGAGGTAGTATGTACATACTGTATGCACACACACAGGTAGCAACTGGAGAGCAGACTATGCAACTGGAGGAGCAAACTCAGGGAGTTACACACAGACACCATTGTACCCATAACAATGGAAATATACAGTATTATAGAAATATGGAGTACATATCGTAGAAATATAAAGTATTTTAGAAATATACAGTACATATCATAGAAATATACAGTACATATCATAGAAATATACAGTACATATCATAGAAATATACAGTACATATTAATAAATATACAGTACATATCATATAAATATACAGTACACACAGTGCCTTCACAAAGTATTCACACCCCTTGACTTTTTCCACATTTTGTTGTTACAGCCTGAATTAAATATTGATTTAAATAGAGATTTTTACCAATTAATAAAAAACGAAATGCTGAAATGTCTTGAGTCAATAAGTATTGAACCCCTTTGTTATGGAAAGCCTAAATAAGGTCAGGAGTAAACATTTGATTAACAAGTGACATAAGTTGCATGGACTCACTCTGTGTGCAATAATAGTGTTTAACATGATTTTTGAATGACTACCTCATATCTGTACCCCACAAATACAATTATCTGTAAGGTCCCTCAGTCGAGCAGTGAATTTCAAACACAGAGTCAACCACAAAGACCGGGAGGTTTTCCAATGCCTTGCAAAGAAGGGCACCTATTGGTAAATGGGTAAAAAAAAAAAAAAAAAAAAGCAGACATTGAATATCCCTTTGAGCATAGTGAAGTTATTAATTACACTTTGGATGGTGTATCAATACACCCAGTCACTACAAAGATACAGGCGTCCTTCCTAACTCAGTTGCCGGAGAGGAAGGAAACCGCTCAGGGAATTCACCATGGGGCCAATGGTGACTTTAAAACAGTTACAGAGTTTAATGGCTGTGATAAGAGAATTGAGGATGGACCAACTAAATTCTAGTTACTCCACAATACAAACCTAAATGACAGTGAAAAGAAGGAAGCCTGTACAGATTTTTTTTTTTACAAAACATGGATCCTGTTTGCAACAAGGCACTAAAGTAATACTGCAAAAAATGTGTCAAAGCAATAAACTTTTTGTCCTGAAAGCAAATTCAATATAACACATTACTGAGTACCACTCTCCATATTTTCGAGCATAGTGGTGTCTGCATCATGTTATGGGTATGCTTGTAATCGTTAAGGACTGGGGAGTTTTTCAGCATAAAAAATAAATGCAATGGAGGCAAAATCTCAGAGGAAAACCTGGTTGTCTGCTTTCCACCAGACACTGGGAGATTAATTCACCTTTCAGTAGGACAATAACCTAAAACACAAGACCAAATCTACACTGGAGTTGCTTACCAAGAAGACAGTGAATGTTCCTGAGTGGCCTAGTTACGGTTTTGACTTAAATATGCTTTACAATATATGGCAAGACTTGAAAATGACTGTCTAGTAATGATCAACAACCAACTTCACAGAGGTTGAATAATTTTTTTAAGAATAATGTGCCAATATTGTACAATCCAGGTGTGCAAAACTCTGAGACTTGCCCAGAAAGACTCAAATAAAATAAAATTGTATTTGTCACATGCGCCGAATACAACAGGTGTAGACCTTACTGTGAAATGCTTACTTACAAGCCCTTAACCAACAATGCAGTTCAAGAAATAGAGTTAAGAAAATATTTACTAAATAAACTAAAGTAAAAAAATCTAATCAAAAAGTAACACAAGAAAATTACAGAACAATAACGAGGCTATATACAGGGGGTACCGGTACCGAGTCAATATGCAGGGGTACAGGTTAGTCGAGGTAATTTGTAAAGTGACTATGTATAGATAATAAACAGTGAGTAGCAGCAGTGTAAAAACAATGTATTTGATTAATTGTTCAGCAGTCTTATGGCTTGGGGGTAGAAGCTGTTAAGGAGCCTTTTGGACCTAGACTTGGTGCTCCGGTACCGCTTGCCGTGCGATAGCAGAGAGAACAGTCTATGACTTGGGTGACTGGAGTCTTTGACAATTTATTGGGCCTTCCTCTGGCAATGCCTAGTATATAGGTCCTGGATGGCAGGAAGCTGGGCCCCAGTGATGTAGTGGGCCGTACGCACTACCCTCTGTAGCGCCTTACTGTCAGATGCCGAGCAGTTGCCATACCAGGCGGTGATGCAACCGGTCAGGATGCTCTCAATTGTGCAGCTGTATAACTTTTTGAGGATCTGGGGAACAATGTCAAATTTTTTCAGTCTCCTGTAGGGGGAAAAGGTGTTGTCGTGCCGTCTTCACAACTGTCTTGGTGTGTTTGGACCATGATAGTTTGTTGGTGATGTGGACACCAAGGAACTTGAAACTCTCGACCCGCTCCACTACAGCACGTCAATGTTAATGGGGGACTGATAAGCTCCTTTGTCTTGCTCACATTGAGGGAGAGGTTGTTGTCCTGGCACCACACTGCCAGGTCTCTGACCTCCTCCCTATAGGCTGTCTCATCATTGTCGGTGATCAGGCCTACCACTGTTGTGTCGTCAGCAAACTTAACACAGTTGTGGTTGAACAGGGAGTACAGGAGGGCACTAAGCACGGACCCCTGAGGGCCCCCAGTGTTGACGATCAGCGTGGCAGATATGTTGTTACCTACCCTTAGCACCTGGGGGCGGCCCGTCAGGAAGTCCAGGTTCCAGTTGCAGAGCGAGGTGTTTAGTCCCAGGGTCCTTAGCTTAGTGATGAGCTTTGTGGGCACTATGGTGTTGAACCCTGAGCTGTAGTCAATGAAGACCGGACCCCGGCGCCACTACAGCATTCTCACATAGGTGTTCCTTTCTCCACGTGGGAAAGGGCAGTGTGGAGTGCGATTGAGATTGCTTCATCTGTGGATCTGTTGGGGCGGTATGCGAATTGGAGTGGGTCTAGGGCAGGGTTCTTCAATTCCGGTCCTGGAGGGCCGAAACACCTCTGTTTTTCATCCTCTCCTTCTAATCAGGGGCTAATTCAGACCTGGGACACCAGATGAGTGCAATTAACTACCAGGTAGAAATAAAAAAACAGAAGTGTTTCGGCCCTCCAGGACCGGAATTGAAGAACCCTGGTCTAGGGTTTCCGGCATGATGGTGTTGATGTGAGCCATGACCAGCCTTTCAAAGCACTTCATGGCTACCGAGGTGAGTGCTACAGGGCGGTAATCATTTAGGCAGGGCTGTAATCACTACCAAAGGTGATTCTAACATGTATTGACTCAGTGGTGTGAATACTTATGTAAATGAGATATTTCTGCATTTTATTTTCAATGAATTTGCACACATTAAAATTTTTCTTTTTTTTCAATTTGTCATTGAGGGGAGATGGGTGATAAAATATATATTTAATCAATTTTGAATTCAGGCTGTAACACAACAACATGTGGAATACTTTCTGAAGGCACTGAAACAGTTAAAATTAGTTATACTACTACTACTACTACTTCTACTACTACTACTACACCCTCAAATTCAACCACCACTGTTACTACACTACTACTACTACACGACTACTACCACAACTAATACTACCTCAGATTCAACCACCACTGGTTACTACTACTACACTACACGTACTACTACTAGTACTACTACACCACTACACGACGACGACGACGTACACGACGACGACGACGACGACGACGACGACCACGACGACCACGACACACGACCACGAAGAGGACCACGACCACGACGACACGACGACACTACGACCACTACTACCACGACGACGACGAGGACTACTACACCGACGATACTAAGTACTACGACAGTACGAGACGACGACTACGACGACGACCACGACTACGGCTACTACGACGACTACCACCACTACCACCACTACGACCACGACGACGACGAGGACGGCGACGACGACGACACACGATCGACGACGACGACGACGACACGACTACGACGACGCAAAGCAACCACCACGGGACGACAACAACGACGACGACACGACGACAGACGACTACACAACTGGACGACTGACGACGACCACAAAATGACTACCGCAAATCAACCACCACGGTACTACAGACTACGACTGACGACGACGACCACAAGAAGATACACCGCAAATGCAACCACCACGGGTGACGACGACCACTACTACGAATACGACCAGGACAAAGGCTACCAACACTGAGTACTACGACACACGACGACGACTAGAGGACGACACGACCACTACGACGACAACTACGACTACTACGTACGACGTACTACTACGACCACTGACACCACTACGACTACTAGGACTACGACACCTAGGATGACTAATACTACTACTAGTACTACGTACTACTACTACAACTACCACTACTACGCTACTATACTACTACCACCACTACCACCACTACACCACTACGACTACTATAGACTGCGACGACACGACAGACG